ATGCTTCTAGTACCTTCTAAGCCCTTAAAGTCCCACTGTCAGGGGGTCTCTCCTTTTTCCAACTATCCTTGACCATTAACTGCCCGGCCTATAGCCGTTTGGCGGCCGCAAAAATGCTTCAGCTGTCCAGGTTCACGCCATTTGGCATCTCCCGCACATGCGCAGTTCGCGCGCTTGCAGAACCGTGCAGCGGCGCGATCTGTCACCGGCCGTATACCTCGGACACGGCCGATGACAGATCTAAGTACTGGCCCCCGTTGCCGGGTACCATGTGACCTGCTGTGACCAATCACAGCAGGTCACATGACAGTTGCATACAATGGATGGCTTCATTCATGCCATCCGTTGTATACTAGTGTCTAGCTGTGAATGGTCACAGCAGGTCACATGCACATGTCATGTGATTAGCTGTGGCCAAATCACAGCTAAGCACAAAAAAAAAAAAAAAAAAACCCTGAATGAATCGATTTCATTCAGGTAAATGCTTGTTTATAGCAAAGTAATTCTTTGCTATAAGCAAATTGTGTAAAAAAAAAAAAAAAAAAAATACTGATCACTTCCCCAAAGTAGTACAATGTTACTATGGTAACATTGTACTAGTTTGGTCATAGTGAAACTATGAAAAAAAATCTTAAAAAAAAAAGTAATTAAAAATAATAAAAAATAAAAAAATATATATATTTTTTTGTTCATACTGTCACCAGTCAGTGTCCCTGTTCACCGCCATGCCAGTTATATGATGACGCTGTACTGCACTGGTGACAGTATGTAAAAAAAAAAAAAAATAGTGAAAATAATTTTTTTAATTATTTCATTTTCCAAAAAATTATGACAAAAAAAAAAAAATACAACTTTAAAAAACTCGCCATTCCTCTTATGAAGTACGTCGGACTGTCTGCTCTACAAAAAATTTGGGGGGGTCTGACATTTGGGGGATATCTGTACTGTCATTTGGGGGATATCTGTACCGTCCTGACATTTGGGGGATATCTGTACCGTCCTGACATTTGGGGGATATCTGTACCGTTCTGACATTTGGGGGATATCTGTACCGTTCTGACATTTGGGGGATATCTGTACCGTCCTGACATTTGGGGGATATCTGTACCTGTCCTGACATTTGGGGGATATCTGACATTTACTGACTGGGGGTACCGTTCTGACATTCTTGGACCTCAAGAAATTAGATTGGCTGTCAGTACTTCAGGATTGATCAATAATCAGATCTATCCCATAGTTTGTGAACTCTATAACTTTCCTACAAACTAAATAATACATCCTAATTTGGGTTATTTTCCCCAAAGACATGTAGCAGAATACATCTCGGCCTAAATTTATGAAGAACAATTATTTATTTGTAAACTTTTATAACAGAAACAAAGAAAAATGTGGGGGTTTTTTTTTCAAAATTTTTGGTCTTTTTTTGTTAATTTAGCAAAAAATAAAAACCCCAGCGGTGATTAAATACCACCAAAAGAAAGCTCTAGTTGGGTGAAGAAAATATAAAATTTTAGTTGGAGTACAGTGTTGTATGACTGCGCAATTGTCATTCAAAGTGTGAGAGTGCTGAAACCTGAAAAATGGCCTGGGGGGCAGGAAGGGGGTAAAGTGCCGGGTATTGAAATGGTTAAAAGACTTTTTTTTGGCACAAACAGTCAGATTTTTAATATCGATGCCAAAATTTTACCATTTCTGCCAGAGGAGGCAAAATTTTGAGCACAAACTGTACAGACTTCCAATGTGCCAAGCTGGACTAATATGACTACAATACACCTCTTACCTGGAGGTCAGATGACTTCTCTGATGTATAATTTTGAATGTATGTTCTAAGGAAGTGAGTTGTTGCTGAATTCGATGATTGAAGAGATCCCTGATGGTAATCTGTCTCTTCCAGGTCTGTGTTTGAGGGTCAAGCTGCAAAGATGTTTGTCTTTTAAGCACAAGGTAAGGCTCAATGTTGTCTCCGTGGCGCGGTCTGTCTCTGTAGCTCTGTCTCTGTGGCACCATTCTCTATGGCGCTGTCTGCCTCCGTAGCTCTGTCTGTCTCTGTGGAGCTGTCCCTGTGGCGCTGTCTATCTCCGTAGCACTGTCTGTCTCTGTGGCGCTGTCCCTGTGGCGCTGTCTATCTCCGTAGCACTGTCTCTGTGGCGCTGTCTATCTCTGTGGCGCTGTCCCTGTGGCGCTGTCTATCTCCGTAGCACTGTCTGTCTCTGTGGCGCTGTCCCTGTGGCGCTGTCTATCTCCGTAGCACTGTCTGTCTCTGTGGCGCTGTCCCTGTGGCGCTGTCTATCTCCGTAGCACTGTCTCTGTGGCGCTGTCTATCTCCGTAGCGCTGTCCCTGTGGCGCTGTATCACTGTCTCTGTAGCACTGTCTGTCTCTGTGGCGCTGTCCCTGTGGCGCTGTCTATCTCCGTAGCACTGTCTGTCTCTGTGGCACTGTCTCTGTGGCGCTGTCTATCTCGTAGCACTGTCTGTCTCTGTATCACTGTCTCTGTGGCGCTGTCTGTCTCTGTGGCGCTGTCTGTCTCTGTGGCGCTGTCTGTCTCTGTAGCACTGTCTGTCTCTGTAGCACTGTCTCTGTGGCGCTGTCTGTCTCTGTGGCGCTGTCTCTGTATCTCTGTGGCTCTGTATCACTGTCTCTGTCACTGTCTCTGTCACTGTCTCTGTGGCGCTGTCTGTCTCTGTGGGCTGCTGTCTCTGTGGCGCTGTCTGTCTCTGTGGCGCTGTCTGTCTCTGTGGCGCTGTCTGTCTCTGTGGCGCTGTCTGTCTCTGTGGCGCTGTCTGTCTCTGTGGCGCTGTCTGTCTCTGTGGCGCTGTCTGTCTCTGTGGCGCTGTCTGTCTCTGTGGCGCTGTCCTGTCTCCGTGGCGCTGTCTGCTGTGCTGCCTCTGTGGCACTGTGGCTCTGTAGTGTATTTTCATGTTTTGTACTACTGATTGCTCATGTGGCCAAGCCTCTGTGGAGCGGTCTGTCATTGGGCAAGCACCCCTCTCTGTGGTACGTCTCCGTGGCGGCTACTCCCGTGGTGCAGACGCACGTGCAGAGTGCTATCTCTTGTTGACGCAGAGGACCTCAGCAGACGCCGCACCAACATCGCAGCCGCTGAGCTCATCTGTTCAGAAGAGAGCACAATGCGCATGCGCGATGCTCGGAAGAAAGATGGCGCTCGCTCTTGTACCACTAGGGGACGCTCGTCCTCACAGCCGATCCGTTCTGAAGAAGAGAACAGGGCGGAGCTGAGAAGTGTTTGTGTGTCAGGCTTCACAAATGTACGGGAAAAACATAAATGGACATATTAAAAAACCGATTTGTTTACTGTGATAGAATTGTGTTCATGGACTGCACAGAGTACAGTGGATATAAAAAGTCTTCACACCCCTGTTAGAATTCAGGTTTCTGAGATGGAAAAAAAAAAATGAGACAAAGATAAATCATTTCAGGACTTTTTCACCTTTTAATGTGACCTACAAACAACAGTGTGCACACCCTCATAACTGGGGATGTAACTGTGTTCAGAATGTTTATATCCTCTGTATAGGGCGCAATCTGTCACCCGCAGTGCACACTGGAGACTGATCATTGCACCCGGCTGGGCTTGTTCTGTGACATACACTATATTGCCCCAAGTATCAGGTCGACGGCCTTTCCACGCACATGACCTTTAATGACCTCCCAGTCTTAGTCCGTAGGGTTCAATATTGAGTTGGCCCCGCCCTTCTACCCCCACACACATGACCTTTAATGGCCCCCCAGTCTTAGTCCGTAGGGTTCAATATTGAGTTGGCCCCGCCCTTTCCACGCACATGACCTTTAATGGCCCCCCAGTCTTAGTCCGTAGGGTTCAGTATTGAGTTGGCCCCGCCCTTCCCACACACATGACCTTTAATGGCCCTCCAGTCTTAGTCCGTAGGGTTCAATATTGAGAGTTGGCCAGTCTTAGTCCATAGGGTTCAATATTGAGTTGGCCCCGCCCTTTGCAGCTATAACAGCTTCAACTCTTCTGGGAAGGCTGTCCACAAGGTTTAGGAGGGTGTCTAGGGGAAGGTTGGACCATTCTTCCAGAAGCACATTTGTCAGGTCAGGCACTGATGTCGGGGGAGGAGGCCTGGCTGCAGTCTCCGCTCTAATTCATCCCAAAGGTGTTCTATGGGGTTGAGGTCAGGACTCTGTGCAGGACAGTCAAGTTCCTCCACCCCAAACTGGCTCCTCCATGTCTTTATGGACCTTGCTTTGTGCACTGGTGCGCAGTCATGTTGGAACAGGAAGGGGCCATCCCCAAACTCTTCCCACAAAGTTGGGAGCATGAAATTGTCCAAAATGTCACCTTAAGAGTTCCCTTCACTGGAACTAGGGGGCCAAGCCCAACCCCTGAAAAACAACCCCACACCATAATCCCCCCTCCACCAAACTGTACACTTGGCACAATGCAGTCAGGCAAGTACTGTTCTCCTGGCAACTGCCAAACCCAGACACGTCCATCAGATTGCCAGACAGAGAAGCGTGATTGGTCACTCCAGAGAACACGCCTCCACTGCTCTAGCGTTCAGTGGCAGCGTGCTTTACACCACGGCATCTGACGCTTTGTATTGCACTTGGTGATGGAAGGCTTGGATGCAGCTGCTCGGCCGTGGAAACCCATTCCATGAAGCTCTCTACGCACTGTTGTTGGGCTCATCTGAAGGCCACACCAAGTTTGGAGGTCTTTAGCTATTGACTCTGCAGACAGTTGGCGACTTCTGCGCACTGTGCGCTTCAGCATGCGCTGACCCCGCCCTGTCATGTGACGTGGCCTACCACTTGGTGGCTGAGTGGCTGTTGTTCCCAGTTGCTTCCACTTTGTTATAATCCCACTAACAGTTGAGCGTGGAATATTTAGTAGCCAGGAAATGTCACGGATGGACTTATTGCCCAGGTGACCACCTATCACGGGACCCCGCGCTTGGAGTCACTGAGCTCCTGAGAGCGACCCATTCTTTCACCAATGTTTGTAGAAGCAGTCTGCATGCCTAGGGGCTTGATTGTATACACCTGTGTCCATGGAGGGGATTGGAACACCTGAATCACATGATATGGAGGGGATTGGAGCACCTGAATCATCCCATGATATGGGAGGGGATTGGAGCACCTGAATCACATGATATGGAGGGGATTGGAGCACCTGAATCCCATGATATGGAGGGGATTGGAACACCTGAATCCACATGATTGGGAGGGGATTGGAACACCTGAATCACATGATATGGAGGGGATTGGAACACCTGAATCACATGATATGGAGGGGATTGGAACACCTGAATCACATGATATGGAGGGGATTGGAACACCTGAATCACATGATATGGAGGGGATTGGAACACCTGAATCACATGATTGGAGGGCGGGGCCAGTACTTTTGCTGATATAGTGTACTGTACATACAGATTTCTTCCAGGCTGCTATGTGACATACAATCATGGCCAAAAATATTGGCCCCCTTGCATTTGTCAGATAACTCACCACTTCACCCAGAAAATTGCTGCAATTACAAATGTTTCGGCATTCTCATGTTTATTTCTTTGTTTTGTATTGGTATGACACAAAAAAATGAAGAAACACAAAGCCAAATCTGACAAATTCCACGCAAAGCCCCAAAAATGGACTGGACAAAATTATTTGCACCCTCAATTTAATATTTGGAAAAAAATCACTGAAATCATTATCTTCCTGTGACCATCGATAACTTTCTTCCACCTGTCTGCTGGAATTTTGGATCGCTCTTCTTCCTCCAACTGCTCCGGGTCTCTCAGATTGGAAGGTTCTTTTCCCCAACTGATGGTCTGAGATCTCTCCACAGGAGCTCTATGGGATGGAGATCTGGACTCATTTGCTGGCCAGTTCAGTCCTCTCCAGCGCTTTGTCTGACACCATTTCTGGGGGCTTTGTGACGTGTGCTTTGGGTCATTGTCCTGCTGGAAGACCCATGACCTCATATGGAGACCCAACTTTCTGACACCGGGCCCTACATTGCACCCCAGAATTCTTTGGTAGTCTTCAGATTCCATAATGCCATGCACACGGCCAAGACATCCAGTGCCTGAAGCAGCAAAGCCACCCCAAACCATCAGTGACCCCTCACCATGTGTGACTGGAGGGACTGTGACCCTCACCATGTGTGACTGGAGGGACTGTGACCCCCCACCATGTGTGTGACTGGAGGGACTGGATTCTTTTCTTTAAAGGGCTTATTACTTTTTCTGAAAACAGCAGAATGATGGGCTTCACCAAAAAGCTGCCATTTTGTTACGTCTGTCCACAGCACATTCTGCCAGAAGGATTTTGGCTTCCTCAGGTAAGTTTTGGCAAACTCCAATCTGGCTTCCAATATGTTTCTATGTTAGCAGTGAGGTCCTCCTGGGTCTCCTCCCGTATTTCTGTGTCAGCGGTGGGGTCCTCCTGGGTCTCCTACCATATTTCTGTGTCAGCAGTGGGTCCTCCTGGGTCTCCCACCATATTTCTGTGTCAGCAGTGGGGTCCTCCTGGGTCTCCTCCCATATCTCTGTGTCAGCGGTGGGGTCCTCCTGGGTCTCCACCATATTTTTGTGTCAGCGGTGGGGATCCTCCTGGGTCTCCCACCATATTTTCTGTGTCAGTAGTAGGGTCCTCCTAGGTCTCCTACCATATTTCTGTGTCAGCAGTGGGGTCCTCCTGGGTCTCCTACCATATTTCTGTGTCAGCAGTGGGGTCCTCCTAGGTCTCCTACCATATTTCTGTGTCAGCGGTGGGGTCCTCCTGGGTCTCCTACCATATTTCATTGTCAGCAGTGGGGTCTTCCTGGGTCTCCTACCATATTTCATTGTCAGCAGTGGGGTCTTCCTGGGTCTCCTACCATATTTCTGTGTCAGCGGTGGGGTCCTCCTGGGTCTCCTACCATGGGGTCCCTTCTCATTCAGATGGGACGTATAGTGTGAGTGAACACAGTTGTACCCGGTGCCTGAAGGTCTGCTTGGATTTGTCTGGAAGTTGATGGAGGTTCTTCAGCCACCATTCCAACAATCCTTCGTTTCAATCTTTGATCAATTTTTCTCTTTCTTCCACATCCAGGGAGATTAGCTACAGTGCCATGGGCTGTAAACCTATTGGCAATGTTGCGCACAGTGGACACAGGAACATGAAGATCTCTGGAGATGGGCTTGTAACCTTGAGATGGTCCATGCTTTTCCACCATCTTTGTTCTCCAATCCTCAGACAATTCTTTGCTGCTCTTCCTCTCCTCCATGCTCCATGTGGCACACAGAGACACCCAACAGAAAGGTGGAGGCCATTTGTCACCATTGTCCCTGGTTGTTGGTGTCATTTCTATATTGTCATCACCTGGTCATGGATACGGGGGAGTTGAACCCCTTGGCGCCGGCACCTCCCAGCCCTTTAAGGGTTTCAGAGGCGGGGCGGGGTTTTAGGGTCATGTGACTGCCGTGATTCGCCGTCACATGATCGGGAAAGGTCCCGATCGAAAGAGGAAATCGGGGCCTTTTCGTGAGTACCGGACATGTGACACGCGCGCTCTCCGCACATATGTTTTATTTAATTGCAGCAAATGTGCGGCCGCTCGGCACCAAGGCCCAGATACTGGGAGGTCATGCATTGGTGTGCGGCCGGCGCCAAGAGGTTAATGACAAATTACAGGAACGTCACAAACTTGGAATGCAATTATTTCTTACAATTTTCAATAGGTGCCAATCATTTTGTCCGGTCCATTTCTCTATTTTGGGTGGAATGGGTCAGATTCGGCTTTTTGTTTCTCCACTTTTTTTATGTCACCGATACAATCCGAAGAAATAAACACGAGAATGCCGAAAGATTTGTTATTGCGACAATTTTCTGGGCGATACCTGATATAAATACGGGGGGGGGGGGGGGGGGTAATATTTTTTTGGCCATGACTGTACATACAGATGTCTTCCAGGCTGCTTTGTTACATACATACCGATCTTCCACCGCTGGAAGGATGTCCCAGGCAAGCAGAGAACTCCTTTGCAGCGGCGTCCCGAGGCGGGGGGGGGGGGGGGGGGGTGCAGCCCGCACGGGGTGACACTGACCGCACGGGGTGACACCACGAAAAGGTAAGTTGTGAAGCAAGCCAACGATCCCCGCAGGTTGGATCCGATCCATCCTGCGGGGATCGTCGGCTTTCTTTACAACTTACCTTTTCCTGGAGCGGGTCCGGTGTCACCCCGTATAGGTTGCATGCCAACGATCCCCGCAGGATTTTTTTTTTTTTTCTTTTTTTTCATAGTTTGTTTATTTTTATTTTATTCGTATATTTTAATTAAACTATGAAATCGAAAAAGAACACAAGAATAAAAATTATTAAAATATACTAATAAAAAACAAACTATGAAATAGAAAAAGAACACAAAAATAAAAATTGTTTATTATTTTATTCGTATGTTTTGATTAATAATTATTTTTATTCTTGTGCTCTTTTTCTATTTCATAGTTTTATTTTTATTTTATTCGTATATTTTAATTTAAACTATGAAAATCGAAAAAGAACACAAAAATAAATTATTAATTAAAATATACGAATAAAAATAAACAATGAAATAGAAAAAGAACACGAAGAAAAATTATTATTAATTAAAATATACTAATAAAATAATAAAAAATAAACAAACTATGAAATAGAAAAAGAACACAAAAATAAATTGTTTATTATTTTATTTGTATGTTCTGATTAATAATTATTTTTTATTCTTGTGCTTTTTTTCTATTTCATAGTTTATTTTTATTTTATTCGCATATTTTAATTCATAAACTATGAAAGAGAAAAAGAACACAAGAATAAAAATAAATTATTAATTAAAATGTACGAGAAAAAATAAACATGAAATCGAAAAAGAATACGAATAAAAACTATTAAAATATACTAATAAAAAACAAACAAACTATGAAATAGAAAGAACACAAAAATAGAATTAAATTATTAATTAAAATATACGAATAAAAAAATAATGAAATAGAAAAAAGAACACAAAAAAAAAAAATAAATTGTTTATTATTATTTTATTCATATGTTTTAATTAATTTTTTTTTTTTTTTTCTTGTGCTCTTTTTCTATTTTCATAGTTTGTTTATTTTTATTATTTTAGTCGTATACTTTAATTTAATAAACTATGAAATAGAAAAAGAACACAAGAATAAAAATAATTAATTTACTGTATTTTTTTATTTTATTTGTATATATTTTAATTAATTTATTTTTATTCTTGTGTTCTTTTTTTTATTCATATTTTATAAATTAAAATATATACAACTAAAATAAAAATAAACTATGAAATAGAGCACAAGAATAAAAATAATTATTAATCACAACATATGAATAAAATAATAATAAACAAATTATTTTTTTTTATTTTTGTGCTTTTTCTATTTCATAGTTTGTTTATTTTTTATTATTTTATTAGTATATTTTAATTAATAATTTTTATTCGTGTTCTTTTTCTATTTCATAGTTTATGAATTAAAATATACAAATAAAATAAAAATAAACTATGAAATAGAAAAAGAGCACATGAATAAAAATAATTATTAAAACATACAAATAAAATAATAATAATAATAAACAATTTATTTTTGTGTTTTTTTTTCTATTTCATAGTTTATGAATTAAAATATAAAAATAAACTATGAAATAGAAAAAGAGCACAAGAATAAAAAAAATAATTATTAATTAAAACATACGAATAAAATAATAAAAAACAATTTATTTTTTTTATTTTTGTGTTCTTTTTCTATTTCATAGTTTTTATTTTTTATTATTTTATTCATATATTTAAATTATTTTTATTCTTGTGTTCTTTTTCTATTTCATAGTTTATTGCTTTTTTTTTTTTTTTATTTTATTCGTATATATTTTAATTAATAATTTATTTTTATTATTTTATTCTTTTGGGTTTAGAATACAATGTCAGGCTTGAATGATCCTGTTTGGGAGTTGCGGTTGCACTAACCAGCCACCAGGTGGCAGTGTGCTCTCTGCTATGATTCATTGAAAGCCCATTGTGAGTGTGGCATGCCCTCCCTGGGATTTAACCCCGTGGGTGCCAATGGTTCAAGCACATTGCAAATAAAGGGGAATAAATGACAAATCCTGGTTTCACACACCCACAGTTCTGGCACTGACGTTTGGACCGCAGGGTTGTCTGGCAAGTTCTCTGCATTCCAGGCTCTTCCAGATGCTCTGGTGAAGTCCCGACCTGTATTTTTTTTTTTTTTTTTTGCTGGGTTTTCTGTGGAAAATTAATGTTATATAAGCCGTCCAAAAACAGTGTAATACAATGAGCCAGACCTGTACCTGCCATAAGGGGTT